TGGTAAATTGGCCACCGTAACGATTACAAAAGCTGACGTTTCGAGCATTAGCCCTTCGTCTTTCGCTCCGACGAAGGGCTAACGCTCGAAACGCCAGCTTTTGTAATCGTTACGGTGGCCAATTTACCACTTCAACTTTGTTGATATATCCAAACTATTAAAAAATAAACTACCTATGAAAGTAAGTTGTATTGATATCTGTTAGACTACAAATGTGGCCTTTTATTCACCAAACATATTTGTAGTAAGCAAGGGTGGATGTTAGTCAAATGCAAACACAGATAGTTGGGAATCAGATAGGAGAACAGCAATCCCTGCAAATTTATGAAGAAAATGACAATTGTAAGAAACTGTCTACCTAGTAATTGTAAGTGATTATGTTCTTTATTTCAGCGATATCTTCGGCAATAAGATACAAAACGTTTCCATCACAACTTTCAACTATGCCCACGAATTGCGATTTTTGTAAGTTCACAGCAAGTTGCAGATGCTTAACTTGACACCAAAAACTTTTTTTTTTTTTTTTTTGGACAGTCTATTTCAACATTAACATGTATTTATTGAATGAGTTAGGTCGAGCCAAGAGAGCCAAACATTTTCCAGTCTAGCCCGACATCACTCTTTCAATAAGCATTTTATCACATGACCTCTGACTAATTAAGTTTTAAAAAATACCAAAAAGTTTGTTTTAACTTAAATAGGACTCAATAGACCAGCGGGCGAGGGAAATCATAAAAGAAAAATTCTAAGTGAAAACTTTTCCTTTCTTTTTCGAGTCAAAACAAGGAACTCACAGCTTATTTATTCTTGTTTGTTCCCTGCTGTCACTCATTTTTTGCAACAACAGCGAACAATGTCGCCGTGTAAGTACACTAGCGCCGGTCGGCTTTTTCATCTTTCACTATGGTTTTCTTTGGGGATTGCACGAGTGGGGGCAGACGGGTCATATGATAACAAGTAAATTCTATTCTTGGAAATACACTTTTTGTAATAAGTCAAATTTATTTTATTAATCGAACTAGGATATAAATCGACTTAATGTTTGATTAATTATTACTCAAAACTGCAGGTTCATGCATTACAACCTGATGGCTGAGCTCCCCAAAGGAATTTTTACCAGGCAGTTGAAGCACATTATCAGAGTGTAAGACTCGGTTCATAAAAATCATTTCCTTCAATCACATCTTTTCTTAAATAACAGCCTATCATATTAATCAATTAAAAATTATTAATTGAATTCAGATCATTAAGGTNAGTCCTCTTCCTGAGAATATGTCCTAAGGATTTGGGGGAAATAAACTGAAAAGGGGAAGCCACTACACAAGTAAACTACACTTTTGGAAAAATTTTCACGAAAAACTGCCTTAATTATTATTCTATGAATCAGTTGAGATGGTAATTCTATCGTTAGCGAATTCCTTGTAACTGTAGTAACTTTTTAGGGATTTGTCAAACAATGAACTTGGAAATCTGCCACCGCACATCTTCAGAAACATTACAGCGGTAGAATTTCTGTGAGTAAGACTGTTATTGACATCAAAGATTGAAAATAATTTTTTGATGATTTTCTAGAAAATATCGGAATGTGGTAAACACAACAGCTTCCTAGTTTATGACAACTCTAACTATAATATACTTGTAGAAGGCGAACGTTTTTGTCTCCTTTTATATGTTGTATATTATACTGTTGTATTGGATGATCAAACTACCCCAATAAGTTTGTAATATGTAACAGGAATGGATCATAAATATATATTTTTTTAATTCAATAATAGACAATACAAATAAATAATAGACCTCCTTAAGGCGCTTGGAAATAAAACTGAGAGTTTTCGAGCTTAACCTTGAGACCATTATACTTATATCTGATGTTTATCTTTGAAGATAAAGATATAAGAATTGGGAGCTATTTTATTGGAAAAAGCATTGCCATCGCCTTGCCTGAACTACAGTAGTGACTTTAAAAAAAAAACAGTGTTTAAGATATCACTCGACAGGTACATCTGCGTATATCGGTCTAAACTTTCCATTTTCCTGTATTCAGGAAATTGGACTACAACAAAATTGAGAGGCTTCATGAAGATCACTTCCAGGGCTTAGTAAATTTGACCGAATTGTAAGTACACTCAGAGTTGAAACTTTGTCCTAAGATGATCTGTTTCGCAAACCATATAAGCTCTGGTGAGGGGCTAACGCTCGAAGTGTCATCTTTTACTTTACGGGGGTAATTCTATATTATCAACTCAGTTGATAAAACCAAAATTACAGTAGTATTGTAATGTTAACTCCGTTATCACTTAAATAAAATGTACTACACCCAATTGCAATCACATTATGTTACTGTATTTTGATATTTATCTTTTATTCCTTTCACTCGTTTAAGATATCTCTCGGAAAACAAAATTAAGGCTTTGCCCTACAAAATTTTCAAGGGCGTCGAAAACCTCAAAGCCATGTGAGTACAGTTAATCACGAGTAAAAAAAAGAAACATAACTCTAGGATATTTAAAGCGATAGAAAGAGTATAACAGAAGTATTTAAAATCTGAGATTTTACTTTAAAAATTTTAATATGAAGTAGAATAGACATGGGTGCAAAATAAACTGAATAAAGGCTGATAGTTTCTAAAGAAACTGTTTGGGGCTGCGCCGGTGGGGGTAACGAAATAATTTG